ACACAGTACAGGGATGACCAGAGACTGCGGACACAGTACAGGAGATGACCAGAGACTGCGGACACAGTACAGGAGATGACCAGAGACTGCGGACAGTACAGGGATGACCAGAGACTGCGGACAGTACAGGGATGACCAGAGACTGCAGACACAGTACAGGGATGACCAGAGACTGCAGACACAGTACAGGGATGACCAGAGACTGCGGACAGTACAAGGATGACCAGAGACTGCAGACACAGTACAGGGATGACCAGAGACTGCAGACACAGTACAGGAGAAGACCAGAGACTGCGGACAGTACAGGGATGACCAGAGACTGCGGACACAGTACAGGAGATGACCAGAGACTGCGGACACAGTACAGGGATGACCAGAGACTGCGGACACAGTACAGGGATGACCAGAGACTGCGGACAGTACAGGGATGACCAGAGACTGCGGACAGTACAGGAGATGACCAGAGACTGCGGACAGTACAGGGATGACAAGAGACTGCGGACACAGTACAGGGATGACCAGAGACTGCGGACACAGTACAGGGATGACCAGAGACTGCGGACAGTACAGGGATGACCAGAGACTGCGGACAGTACAGGAGATGACCAGAGACTGCGGACACAGTACAGGCGATGACCAGAGACTGCGAACAGTACAGGAGATGACCAGAGACTGCGGACACAGTACAGGGATGACCAGAGACTGCGGACACAGTACAGGGATGACCAGAGACTGCGGACACAGTACAGGGATGACCAGAGACTGCGGACACAGTACAGGAGATGACCAGAGACTGCGGACACAGTACAGGGATGACCAGAGACTGCGGACAGTACAGGGATGACCAGAGACTGCGGACACAGTACAGGAGATGACCAGAGACTGCGGACACAGTACAGGGATGACCAGAGACTGCGGACACAGTACAGGGATGACCAGAGACTGCGGACAGTACAGGAGATGACCAGAGACTGCGGACAGTACAGGAGATGACCAGAGACTGCGGACACAGTACAGGAGATGACCAGAGACTGCGAACAGTACAGGAGATGACCAGAGACTGCGGACACAGTACAGGAGATGACCAGAGACTGCGGACACAGTACAGGGATGACCAGAGACTGCGGACACAGTACAGGGATGACCAGAGACTGCGGACACAGTACAGGGATGACCAGAGACTGCGGACAGTACAGGGATGACCAGAGACTGCGGACAGTACAGGGATGACCAGAGACTGCGGACAGTACAGGGATGACCAGAGACTGCGGACGGTACAGGGATGACCAGAGACTGCGGACACACAGTACAGGAGATGACCAGAGACTGGGGACACAGTACAGGGATGACCAGAGACTGCGGACAGCACAGGGATGACCAGAGACTGCGGACAGCACAGGGATGACCAGAGACTGCGGACAGCACAGGGATGACCAGAGACTGCGGACAGCACAGGGATGACCAGAGACTGCGGACAGCACAGGGATGACCAGAGACTGCGGACAGTACAGAGATGACTGCTGACCTTTGGGGAGGGAGGGGGAGCGGGTACCTGAATTTGACAGGTACCCGCTCTTACTTCCGCAGAGTTTTTTTTTTTTATCTTACCTGTTCCTCGATCCAGCCGCGCGCTGTCTTCCCGGCTTCTGTAGTGTGGGCGCTCGTCGGACAGCCGGATGCCCAGTGCGCATGCGCGAGAAGCGCTGCGCTTTGTGATTGGTCCGGCGGCTTCTGGGATCTGTCATGTGTCCCAGGTACCGCCTTACCATTCACAAGGAGCACTGCTTCTTGTGCATGCGCACTTGGGACCCGGCTGTCACGCACACTACAGCCGGGAAGACAGCGCACCGCTGGATTCTCCTGGCGTGCCCACAGATAAGGCTCGGCGTGCCGGCTGTGGCACGCATGCCACGGGTTCGCCATCACTGGTCTAAGCTCTTTCGGTCATACTTGCAAAACTAAGTGTGTGTGTGTGTGTAAGATGTGTTAATGTGCTTTACAGTGCATTTTCACACATTTACATGCATTCAAGTGCAAGATATTGTAAGCAGCTGTACTTTTATTGAAAGCAATGGAACAGCGGTGTGGGGGCTAGGGTGGCTAGAGTGATTGGGAAATATTGGTTTTACTGTGCATATATTCAGGATATATGTTTAAAAAATACACCTGAAAGCATTTAGTGTAAACAAGCCCTTACAAGAAGACTTGGAGGATATGCATGAAACATTTCTTTTTTTTTTATTAAAAGAGAAGGAGGGCCAAAGCTCTTTTGGCCATATTTCTTCTGTGGATCACAGGAGTGCACTTTGTTCTGTACTCCTGTGACTGGTATTTAACTGACAGTGGTCTAAAGTCCTCTGTCAGCTAACATTATAGATCTGGTTCAGGCTCTGCAGGGATCCTGACAATGCTGTCAGGATCTGCCCAGGTTCCTGACCAAAAGCTGACTCCGCCTCAGTGCGCTGCTGTGAGCCTTAGCCAGCTGATCCCACCTCTGCTCCTGCCTGGCACTCCCACTGGAGGATTAAACAAAAGAGAAAGGGCACACCAGCCTAGTGCATTATCCCCGCGGGTTTATTGGTAGTATAAAAAGCTAAAAACATACTCACAAACATAAATAGTATATGGCACGTAAATCTCATGGCACAGAGGATGTGAAGACCCAAGTGGACCGAACGCAAGGAGAAGCGCCGTCCAGGAACCAAGAAAGCTTACACGTTTCAAGGGTACGCCCTCTTCATCAGAGCTAACTAGATAGGATCCAAGCTCCACGTATGTACAGTGCTCAGCATAAATGAGTACACCCTGTTTGAAAAGTAAGATTTTATTCAATATTTCAATAAACACAAGAACAATATCCAAAATTTTGACAAAACCGAGTTTTATAGAACATTTGTTTAGCTCATTACATGAAAGTAAGGTTAATAATAAAACTTAGATTACAAAATCTTCTGTTTTACTAAAATTAGTTGATGCAAAAATGAATACACCCCACAACAAAAACTACTACATCTAGTATTTTGTATGACCGCCATGGTTTGTAAGGACAGCACCAAGTCTTCGAGGCCTGGAATGAACAAGTTGGCAACATATTGCAACATCTATCTTTATCCATTCTGCAAGAATTACATCTTTTAGAGCCTGGATGCTGGATGGAGAGTGATGTTCAGCTTGTCTCTTCAGAATTCCCCATAGGTGTTCGATTGGGTTTAAATCAGGAGACATACTTGGCCACTTAATCACTTTCACCTTGTTCTTCTTCAGAAATGCAACACTGGCCTTAGATGTGTGTTTTGTCATTGTCATGTTGAAAAGGTACATGATGACCAAGGGCAGAGTGATGGTAGCATCTTCTCTTTCAATATACTGTAGAGCAGTACATCTGTGAATTCATGGTACCATCAATGAAACGCAGCTCCACGACACCAGCAGCACTTATACAGCCCCACAGAAGGACACTACCGCCACCTTTTATAATCAGCTGTCTGCTGGACACCTGTTTAATGAATAATTAGACTCACCTGTAGTTGAATTCTTGTTAATTAGGATTTTGTTGTCCAAAATTTAGCTTTGCTCCAAAGACTTTTGTTGGGGTGTATTCATTTTTGCAAAATGGTCTTGAATTAATTTGTTAGGAAAAATACTTTTTTGTGTGTGCATATTACCAAATCTTGTGTGCAATCAATGGCCCGCATTTGTGGGAGCATTTTGTAGTATAGTGTCCCATAGAAAATGTTGATTCTGAAAGCAAAGTAAGAGTTTTCTGACAAATCTGTTAGGGGGTGTATTATTTATGCGGAGCACTGTATACCCAACTCAAAAGACCATGTGAATCTCAGGGTCCACCCACATCCAAGGGGTGGATACCCACATACCGGGTCAAAGGACAAACCAGTCTGGCGTGCACCAATGTGTATTAAAGAATAGCCAACAATAATAATAATAGTAATATAATAATATCATACAAAAAAACTAAAGGAATGGGGGGGGGGGGGGGACCAAGTAGAGAAAATCACCGCAAAAATAAATTTGCCCAAATGTAGTTAGAACGTTCAGTAGCCAATATGCAATACTCACACTGGTTGCATATTCCAATAACATGTGGATGGTCCCCTTCTATTTCTATTATTGTTCTGTCTCTCCAATCTAAGCATTGAAAGTGTGATCTCTGTAACTCACAGTTGTGATGAGATAGCGATAACTCCAATCTCAGTTGGATACCACAGTCAGTGACTCAATCGAGATGATATCTTGTAGATCTTGTGAAGTTTATTCCATAAACTGAGAGAATCTTACAACAAAGAATATCTGATAGGTCAAAAGATCATAATGTGACCTGCTTCATGACATGAGGCTAGAAGCTGCAATGCATTACTGGGAAGAGGGTGGGCTATCTATATAGCATTAACGAAACCAGAGGAAAGGGAGGAGCAGAGACAAAATACAGAGAACAATATATTCTATTATAGTAGTTCCAAATATTCCCAGTGTAGGAAATTGCATGGGGGTACAAAGGAGGGAAAACGTAGTTCTGTATGATGTGCACTAATCCCACCAGGTGGCAATCTACATGATTGATAAACCCATATACCATGGTGGTCTAGGAGGAAGTGTCTCTTGAGAGGGAATTCCCAATGGAGGGGCAGAGCAGAGAGCGATGATTTAACAGTCATCTCTCTGTGCTCAGAAGGGACTCAAGAACTGAGCGATTACTGATCTTTGATCACTTAGTTCTTATTGAAAAGCTGGTATGGGACAGCAATCTAGGTGTGTATGAATGTTTATTTTTTTAATTGTTGCACTTCTCTTTTAAATTGAAGCACCAAGCAAACAGCTCAGTACAAAGTTCATATATTTATATACCGGTATATGTTTACTGTTTAATCTGTTACAGCTAATCTCGTGATTTGCAAGCATCTTCCACATTGTATGTATGTATAAAATATAGTGTTTTGCTGCCTGTTTGCATGTCATCCTGCACCAGTAATCAACAATAATTTGTTTTTGTTTCCAGTTTTGTGGTCATCCCAGAGGGATGCTGGGTATTCATACCTGGAGGAGTTCAGCTTTGTTTTCCTTGCGGAGCTGTGTCATGTCCTATGAAAATTGGTTTTCAGATATTTCAGCCAGATTCACAGCATGTGAGACTTGGACATCATGATGTGCTGCTCAGTAGCACCTTGGAGCTTCAGCCTCATGGCATTCAGTTTCATCAGGTGAGACAGCGGTTTTCTGTGTGTCTTTTTTTTTTTTTAATAGGCTTTTATTTTTGCCACGTTTTTTTCAGTAAAATATTAGTACAGAACACATGATCACTCAGTACACAAAAATAACAAGGCAATAAGGGCTATGCAGAGCCCACGGAAATCATAAAGAGCAATCACATGGGTAAACATAGAAATAAAAAAAAACAAATACAAACAGCCACAACAGCAACCTCACACACCTTCATAAACACCATACACACATCCCCCCCTCTTCTCCACTGAGAGGACCTCAATTAAAGACAAGGAATGAGCCCTATAAAAGGCCCTTTCACATATAAAATCCAGAGCATATTCAGAAATATACAAGAAATCAAGATGGTAAATCAGCCACCTGGGACACTGAGGCATCCAACCACAGCTGCCATATCTTATTCAAGTTTTGAGGACATGCCCTGCCCATGTATATAATTTTGTATTTTGGCAAGTCAGTAATAACCAAGTTACAAATGTATGAAGCAGTTGGTGGAGCTGGTTTTTTCCAATAAAGTAAGATAGCCTTGTAGGCAAAGAAAAGTACAGGTGAAACTCAAAAAATTAGAATATCGTACAAAAGTTCATTTATTTCAGTAATGCAACTTAAAAGGTAAAACTAATATATGAGATAGACTCATTACATGCAAAGCAAGATAGTTCAAGCCGTGATTTGTCAAATTGTGATGATTATGGCTTACAGCTCATGAAAACCCCAAATACACAATCTCAGAAAATTAGTTTATTACATGCAATCAATAAAACTGTTGGTTATGTGTTATAGAAGAGACTGGTAGTGATGAGGCAGAACTATGACTTTACTTGTGTGGCTTAAGTTACAAACATACAGAGCACATTTCACAGCAGACATATTACAGACACATTACTTCCTGAAGAGATGATAGAGAAGAGGAAAGAACCAGCAAGTTTTACACATACACAACTAGTAACCTTTAGCATACAGTGCCATCTACTGGTCAAGTGATATTAACACAGAAATACTATATACAGTACATTATAGTACATGCTGTTGCATTCCCAACACCCCTTCTCAACGGCATGTGCATAATTATATGACATTGAGTCTCTTTTGTAGAAAACAATGACGTTCTCTTGTTTTTGGATAATCTGGTTCCATTGGTATTTTCACTTCCTTTGCATCTTGCATGTGAAACTGTTCTAACATTTCTGTAATTTTCTGACTTTTGTTAAGAAGATAGCTTCCATCCTCTTTCCGCTCTATTTGAATTCCTAGGTAGTGAGTAATGTTCCCCAACTCTTTAATTTCAAAATTTTGTTTCAGTTTGTGAACTATTTGGTCATAGTCCCCTTCTTGTTCAAAACACGTCAAGATGTCATCGACGTATATTAGGATGTTTGTCCATTTGTTCTCTTGATTCTTTGAATACAGACATGGATCTGCTTTACTTTTTGAGAACCCTTCCTTTCTGAGTATTTCGTTCACTTTTTCATTCCATGCTCTCGCCGCTTGCTTGAGCCCGTAGATGCTCTTTTGCAGTTTGCATACAAGGTTCTTTTCTTTCTCAAAGCCTGGTGGCTGTTCCATGTACAGATCCTCCTTGATGTCTCCATACAAAAAGGCAGTTTTGACATCTAGATGCTTTACTTGCATTCCCTTTCCGGCAGCAATACTAAGGAGTGTTCTTATAGTAGAATGTTTCACAACTGGAGCAAATGTCTCATCGTAATCTTCTCCAAATTTCTGGGAGTATCCCTTGGCAACTAATCTTGCTTTGTATCTATAGATGTTTCCTTCTGTATCATATTTCACTTTAAAAGTCCATTTGCTTCTGATGGTTTTGCGACCAGGAAGGAATTCTGTTAGTGACCAAGTTTTATTTTCTTGAAGTGATTTTATTTCTTCTTCAGCTGCTTTTCTCCACTGATCGGCTTCCCTTCTCGGCAAAGTTTCTATGTCTTCCCAGGATGTTGGCTCCTGTGTTTGATGTGTTTTAGCAGCGTATGATAACCTGCGGGGTGGTATCCCTTTTGTCAATCGTGAGGATCTTCTGATTTCTTGTTGTTCAGTGGGTTCTATTGGCTCGTTGATTGTAAGTTCCACTTCTTGTTTTGGCTCTTATCCTGCTTCGCATGGGTCAGTGTCTCTTGACGATTTAGTGTGTAAATCTCCACATTTTTCAAGAATTGTATTATCTGGTGCTTCACTTTCATCAAAATAAACACTGCGGCTTACTGTGACCTTGTTGGTCTTTGGACAAAGGATTCTATATCCCTTACTCTGCTCACTGTAGCCAACCAGAATGCCTTCTATGGCTTTGTTCTCCAACTTGGAGCGTTTCTGACTTGGAATGTGGGCATATGCTTTACAGCCAAATACTCTGATGTGTCCTACGTTAGGTTTTGATCCATTCCACATTGTATTTGGTTCACTTTTTCATCCCATGCTCTCGCCGCTTGCTTGAGCCCGTAGATGCTCTTTTGCAGTTTGCATACAAGGTTCTTTTCTTTCTCAAAGCCTGGTGGCTGTTCCATGTACAGATCCTCCTTGATGTCTCCATACAAAAGAATTGTATTATCTGGTGCTTCACTTTCATCAAAATAAACACTGCGGCTTACTGCGACCTTGTTGGTCTTTGGACAAAGGATTCTATATCCCTTACTCTGCTCACTGTAGCCAACCAGAATGCCTTCTATGGCTTTGTTCTCCAACTTGGAGCGTTTCTGACTTGGAATGTGGGCATATGCTTTACAGCCAAAAACTCTGATGTGTCCTACGTTAGGTTTTGATCCATTCCACATTTCATATGGTGTACTCTCAATAGATTTTGATGGGAGCCTGTTTTGTAGGTATGTTGCAGTCATTATTGCTTCTCCCCAGTATTTGTTAGGTAAGGCAGCGTCCGTAATCATACATCTGGTCATTTCTACAAGAGTGCGATTCTTTCTTTCAGCTACACCGTTTTGCTCAGGAGTGTATGGTACAGTTGTTTGGTGTATAATACCTTGTTTCTTTAGGTATGATTCCATCTCTTTATTCATATATTCCCCTCCATTGTCAGTGCGTATTATTCCAGGTTTCCTTTGAAACTTGTTGCTTGTCATAGCTACAAACTCTTGAAGTTTTTCTAATGTCTCACTTTTGTGCTTCATTAGATACGTTATTGTGTACCTGGAATAATCGTCGATGAAAGTCAGTAAATACCTGTTCCCGCCAGGTGTGATGGTTTTCATTGGTCCGCACACATCACTGTGTATCAGTTCCATGGGTTTAATGGTTTTACTCTGACTGGTCTGTGGAAGAGAGGTTCGGGTGGCCTTTGCTCTGATGCAACACGTGCACTTGCTGAGTGTGTGGCAAGGCAATATTTTCATGTCTTCTGATAGACCTCTCTTTGCAAAGTCCTTTATAGCTTCTGGGTTTCGATGCCCCAATCTTCTATGCCACAGGTGGATGCACTTGTCATGTGGGTTATGAGTTGCCGCATTAGCCTTCTCACTTTCAGTGATGAGTTTGTACAGATGTTCATTTAATCTTCCTCTTGCTAGAATTTGCTTTCCATTTTGAATTGTGCATTCATTACCTCTGAACTGGACAGTGAGTCCATTGCTTGCAAGGGTTTTAACTGATAGGAGGCTTCCTTCTAGGCTTGGAACATATAGAACATTCTTTACAAGGATGCTCTGCTTGCCCCCTGATGGCGTTTTGCAGTTTAGAAATCCCTGACCTTTACCTTCCGCTGTAATACTTTTCCCATTTGCTAGGAAGACTTTATCTTTTACACTTAAATCAATTTCTGTGAAGAATGTCTCGTCGCTTGTCATGTGACTTGTTGCCCCTGAATCAATGTACCATCCATGTGAGGTACTATTCTGAGTCACTTTAAAAGTACCACTCCATGATGCACTTTCATTTTCTTTCATGACTGCTTTAGCTCTTTCTCTTGTGGGTAGCTCACGCTTTCGCTGCTCAGCTTTCCAGATTGAACAGTTCTTTTTCAGGTGACCGGCCTTTTTGCAGCGAAAACATACCCTGGTTTCTTTGCTTTGTCTTATGCCTTCCTGCACCTTCAGAGCTGCCTCTGGTCTCTCGTTCTCTTCACTATGCAAATTTTCCTTTCTTCTGCTGCATTCATCAATTAATTTTCCCTTAACATATTCTAGCGTCAGTTCAGTTTCCGGTCTAGTTTCTAGAGCATTTATAAGGGCACTGTATGATTCTGGAAGGCTGCACAGAAGTATTGAAACAACATGGTTGCTTTTTAATTCTTCACCTATTGCACCCAGCTGGTCCACAATTTCTAGCATAGCATTTACATGTTCACCCATTTCCTGCCCTTTTTCCAGCCTCATCTTATACAGTTTGCGCAGTAGATATAGTTTACTCTTTAGGTTTGCACGTTCATGCAGTTTTTGTAACGCAGTCCACATACCTTTTAGCTGTGCTTTCTTTCCTTATATGAATGAGTTGATCGTCCTCCACTAACAGGCTTATGACTGCTTTTGCTTGCCTGTTTTTTCTGTCCCATTCTTCTGGGTTGTCATTGGGTCTGTGTGTATCTAGTACCTGCCACAAGTCATCTTTGGATAACAGCATTTCAAGCTTAAGCTTCCATAGCTGGTAGTTGGTGTTGTTGAGCTTTGCTATTGTAAACTTCATATCTGAAGCACTTGCCATCTTTCAGTGAATTGGATTGTAAATGCAGCACTTACTTGCTTGTAGTTTTTCTTTTTTTCAGTGTCTGGAGCTGGGCCCATAACCTGTTGGTTATGTGTTATAGAAGACACTGGTAGTGATGAGGCAGAACTATGACTTTACTTGTGTGGCTTAAGTTACAAACATACAGAGCACATTTCACAGCAGACATATTACAGACACATTACTTCCTGAAGAGATGATAGAGAAGAGGAAAGAACCAGCAAGTTTTACACATACACAACTAGTAACCTTTAGCATACAGTGCCATCTACTGGTCAAGTGATATTAACACAGAAATACTATATACAGTACATTATAGTACATGCTGTTGCATTCCCAACAAAAACAAGGATTGTACATAGAACAATATCGGACCTCTGAAAAGTATAAGCATGCATATGTACTCAGTACTTGGTTTGGGCTCCTTTTGCAGCAATTACTGCCTCAATGCGGCGTGGCATGGAAGCTATGAGCCTGTGGCACTGCTGAGGTGTTATGGAAGATCAGGATGCTTCAATAGCGGCCGTCAGCTCTTCTGCATTGTTCGGTCTCATGTCTCTCATCTTTCTCTTGGCAATGCCCCATAGATTCTCTATGGGGCTCAGGTCAGGCAAGTTTGCTGGCCAATCAAGCACAGTAATCCAACGGTCATTGAACCAGGTTTTGGTGCTTTTGGCAGTGTGGGCAGGTGCCAAGTCCTGCTGGAAAATGAAGTCAGCATCTCCATAAAGCTCGTCTGCGGAAGGAAGCATAAGGTGCTCCAAAATCTCCTGTAGACGGCTGCATTGACCCTGGACTTAATGAAGCACAGTGGATCAACACCAGCAGATGACATGGCTTCCCAAATCAACACAGACTGTGGAAACTTCACACTGGACTTCAAGCATCTTGCAGTTTGTGCCTCTCCATTCTTCCTCCATACTCTGGGTCCTTGGTTTCCAAATGAGATGCAAAAGTTGCTCTCATCAGAAAAGAGGACTTTGGACCACTGAGCAACAGACCAGGTCTGTTTTTCTTTAGCCCAGGTAAGACGCTTCTGACATTGTTTGTTGTTCAGGTGCGGCTTGACAAGAGGAATACGACATTTGATGCCTATGTCCAGGATCCATCTGTGTGTGGTGGCTCTTGATGCACTGACTCCAGCCTCAGTCCACTCCTTGTGAAAGTCCCCAACACTTTTGAGTGGCCTTTTCCTGACAATCCTCTCCAGGCTGCGGTCATCCCTGCTGCTTGTGCACCTTTTTCTTCCACACTTTTCCCTTCCACATCACTTTCTATTAATGTGCTTTGATACAGCACTTTGGGAACATCCAACTTCTTTTGCAATTATCTTTTGAGGCTTTCCCTCCTTATGGAGGGTGTCAATGATGGTTTTCTGCACAACTGTCAGGTCAGCAGTCTTTCCCATGATTGTGATTCCTACTGAACCAGACTGAGAGACCATATAAAGGCTCAGGAACCCTTTGCAGGTGTTATGGCTTAATTAGCTGATTAGAGTGGGACACTTTGAGCCAAGAATATTGCACCTTTTCACAATATTCTAATTTTCTGAGATTGTGGATTTGGGGTTTTCATGAGCTGTAAGCCATAATCATCACAATTATGACAAATCACAGCTTGAACTATCTTGCTTTGCATGTAATAAGTCTATCTCATATATTAGTTTCACCTTTTAAATTGCATTACTGAAATAAATGAACTTTTGCACGATATTCTAATTTTTCGAGTTTCACCTGTAAGCGAAATAGTGAGAGGCAGTGTGGTGAGACTACAAATGCATCAAGGGCACCCAATAGACAGATTTCTGGGGCTTTTGGGTGCACGGCATTCCAAGTTGAGCTCCAAGAGAGGGCGTGAAAATCAGACCAGAATGACAAGATGACTAGGCAAATCCAAAGCATATGGCAGATATAAGATTCACTGCTATTTCACCACAGTGCGGGCACGGAACAGGAACAGCTGGTGTCATCTTAGAGAGCCATGCAGGTATATAGTGGAGATGTGAATGAATTTAAATTGTATGAAATGGTCAGCTGTACTGATGATATAATTGAAACAGGTTTCAGTAACTTCTTCCCAGCCCTTGTCTGTGAGAGCAGGAATGCACTGCCGCCACTTTCTGTGTGAAGAGGCAAAAGGGTTGGAACCCTCAAGTTAAAAATGCTTGTAGAAAGTAGTGACCGATTTGGCATGATCAGGGTCGTAGAGGAGGTGTTCCAGAGGTGAGGATGAAATAATGTGTGCAGCACCAAACTGGGCTCTGATTGCATGCCACAATAAAAGATACTTAAAGATAAACTTGTTCTGAAGGCCATATTTTTCTTTAAAGGCATCAAAGGAAAGGAATTGATTGTTAGAAAACACGAGACACCTAAATTACCCCTCTGGATCGATACCAGGGAGCATCCGGGTGTCTGTAAAGTTTTTTAAAGTTGCAATTGCACCACAAAGGAGCACAGGGTGTAATGCCTGAGTCCCCAATGAAATCAAGACCCGATGACCAGGTACCACACTGTGTAAATTATCAGCTGGACTCCTGGATACCCTCCCAAAGCTGCCATTAGAGTGGTTGAGGGATTGGGGATCTCAGATTCTGTGTGTCTTTGAGGTGCTTCTATAAAACAAGACTTTCCAAAAAATCTCATATTTTCTGTAAGTCAGAGGCATGGCATTAAAATGGTCCATGCTGATGTTAATAGTGTTTTAATTAGTGATTCACAATGTTGAAGGTATATGTGTTATTTATTGCTTAACAGGATATTGAAATCACTATTCCCTTCACTTATCTGAAGCGTGTGCGAAAACGAGAGGTGGTCATTAGGACTTTCGGCGACTCATCAGAAACATGGACAGATCTGAGCACTACAACAAAGGAAAAGTCAGTGCGTGAGGTGAGACAGTAGGCTGAATGAATAAAGTTCTGGTGCTTGTGACCTGAAGATGGTGATTTATGACTTATAACAACTAGTGTAGCTTCCTTTAAAGGATCACTATGCTTTCAAATATTTTTTGATTGGCTACTTGTATATGCAGTTTGAGCTAAAAAAGCCCAGGAATTCCATTGTGTCGCTGAACATGATCCTACAATAATGTTACTGAGAATGTGATCCTCTCTAATGATACTGGGAAATGTGGAGTACGTTAGCCTGCAAACATTTGGTTTCTATGGCTCCTCCTGTCTATATTAATACCAAAATCAATGCCTCCACTTCCCCCAAGCCTTGATCAGCTTCCACTCTATTTTCTCCTCCCAAACTCCGCTTAAGTGAGGTGGCACATCTGACCAAATCATGTGTCTCCAGCTAAATGTGAAATGTGTCTATCACTTCAACTGTTCCCTGTACAGCCGCTTCAGTCAATGACTTTACACTTATTTCAGCTCACCTAAAGGAAAAAACCTGTTTTGCACTTTCGATCCCGATTCAGTGGAAACTTGGGATAGGAGGCTATACAGATGGGTGAAATGCAAAATTCAGTATGGCAAAAATCCTTTGCCAATTAAAAGCAATATGTTTCCCTGTTTCTTGGCTTCGGTCCTTGTCATGAAGTCTCAGATGCAAAGAAGAGGTATTTTATTTAAAGTATATTTACTTTTCTGTCTTGTTTGATCAGATGGTAGCCATCTGCAGGACCACTCACTTCTCCTGGTTCCTTGTGGTCTCACGTTTAGTAGAAGATCGATGTGAGGTGCCTGTTGAAGGAGAGCTCCTCTTCTCCACTGTGGACCAGAATATTCGGGTTGAATTTCCAGCTGGGTCAACTCAGAGGACCCGAACAATTCGTATGCAGGTTAGTTAGGTAAAACTAGCCCTAGTGTTTGTTCCAAAATAACTTTTTTTTCTCGGGAAACTAGCTTTGTTTGTTCCTATAATACAATATTGGTCTGTAAATTTGACTTGTGTTGCAACACTATGAAAATTAGCACGAAGAAAGAAAAACTTTTTGTGATTTCACTTTTTCAGGTTTTACCAGTTACCAGAAGTTTACTGCAGGAGATCACAGGAGACAATTCATCATCTACAAGCCCACTCTTATGTCTTTCACAGAGTTCAACAGACAACTTCCTACGTCCTGTAAAAATCCAGCTGCCGCTGCCACCAGGAGTGACAGGTCAGCTGCTGGACAGAATATCAGTTGTATTGCTGGGGGGATTTACAAAGCATTGCTTTTTCTTAATGTGTATCTAAATGCATTTTTTTTAATCATCCAAGTGAGTTTTTTTTTTTATTGCTGTCTGTGTTCCTCCTGGGGATATAAAAAACCTATCAATACGCTTTTGTTTATTTCAGAAATGCTTTCAATTCAACTGTATGAGAATGCAAAGCAGTCAGAGCAGGTCAAATGAATTTAATTGCACCAGCAGTGAATTTTGAGTGATCTTAGAAAAGTCTAAAACTGATGTTAAAAGCATACTACGCTTGCCCATCAAAGCCTGTCAGCACTGGCCCTTCCACTCTCTTCTTGTCCTGTGGACCATTATCACTAAAACTAAAAGTAAGGGAGTATGCAAAATTTTTAGTTGTCATTGGAACAATAATAAAGAGGACGAGTGGGCACTTGGTTAGGCAGCTGCCTAAAGCACGCCATAAATTATGCAATTTTCTTTCCTTCCACACAGGTGGTGGAAGGAGAGAAAATTGCTTGATTCCCTCATCAACACAGTCCGTGTTGATAGGGGAATCCTCCTGCAGCTCCATTGCTTTCTGTCAGCGGGGAGCCTTCTCCACTGGTAGAAAACAATGATCACTGTTGGCAGTTATAGCCACTGGCAGTGATCGCAGGAACAAAATCTGACAAGCCGGTTGTACTAAAGTCAATCGAAAGATCAACTACAGTACAACCATCCTGCCCATATATGAGGGATGAAACCCAACCTGTCCCTGCTGAACCAGCTGAGAATTGATCCATCTATAGCCATATTAACCTCCCTAGGGGTCTGATTATGTCCATATTTCTGTGCTCAAAGCAGTACATTTTTTTGCATGGAAATATGTATTTTTTTTATTGTAGGCCTGTAATTTTTAGGAATAACTCGCTAAAATCTGTCCTAACAAGAGTCTAGTAAACATCCCGGGTATGTTACAATTTGAAACACGAAATCATAAATTATAATTTAATAAATAATCATAAAAAATAATAATTTAATAATAATAAATTTAATTCAATAATATAATCGAACCAAAAACACTGAAATTTGAAATTGAGCGCAAAGTTCGCACATCACTGAGCAAAGTCGCAAAATCGTTTTCAGTGTCTGATGACAAATTTCCCCACGAATCATTATCACTCAATTCTGCAAGTGGTTCTGATTTACTATCGCTGTTTTCTTTTGACCTAAAGGGATGCTTTTTGGACGCCATGGACGTTTCTCAGTTTCCAGGCAGAAAGAACAGTAAAAATGCAGGCAGGGCACAGGACAAAGCACTAGGGACAAAATGTATGTGAAATGGTTTGATACAGTAATGTTTTACTATGTGATTTTAGTGTATTTAGTGAATGTCACTTTTTGACATTATCAAATTTCCCGCCTGTTCCGTCCCCCGTACGTCCCGACGCTCGCAGGGGACGGAACCCAGATGACAGATGCCGGCATCCGCCGGAGGACATTGCCGGGGACACTGCAGGAGGGACATCGTGGGAGCGCAGGACAAGGTAAGTGATCAAGGGATCCCGGAGCAGCGCCGCATGGTAAGCCCGAGTGTAGCTCAGGGTTACCGCTTGTGGTACTGAAACTTTACCCCGAGCTACACTCGGGAATACCGCCAGGGGGGTTAAGAGAGGCCTTCCTTCAGGGCCCATTCACATTGACATGCTCTGTTGTTAATGCAGGTGTTTTTATGTGTATTATGTCACACGTTACCATGCGTTACCTTAATGATGAACCTCACCCATCACTTCCTACTACCTAGTACATTACATACATGTGTTTTTTCTAACTCCCTAGTCCTTTTTTTGGTGGGGGGGGGGGGGTTGTGGATTTTTTTTTTTTATTATAAAAGCACTTTCTTATTATTCATAAAATCATTGCTTTCATTCACCAAACACACAGGGGAGGAATTAAGCAAGCAGTGATGTCAGTGCCACTATAACAAACTACAATTCTCAACTTGTAATGGGAATTGTAGTTCTCATAAGGGTATTTTGTTAGGATTTTGGACAGGTGTGTTGAAGAATCTAAGCATACAAGTCAAAGCCTTCGGTACTTATTGGATTGCTTTTTGATTAATGCTGAGTTTGATTTGTGGTTTATGTGCTGGAATGGACTCTCACTCTCCCTGTAGCTAAAGCTTTTACAGACGGCACTCGCTTTTAGTGGGAGACGTGGATCCTTCCTTGCTCTTATTACAGAGGTCTGGTGGTGGCTGGCTGATGGGTCTGGAAGAGGGGGCAGCCTATGGTTGTGGCTTGCTGATCCCTGGTTTCCAGGTCATTATAGGGTCTTGGGACCCCCCCTCCCATATCTACAACTCATGCTGCAAATGAGCTCTCACTGACTTCTATAAGTAACTTATCCTATCTAATTGCTTTGATGTCATTTACCTTTGATTGACGTTGCTCCGAGGGGTTCAGGTTGCTGCAGGTTTTTCAGGCTGGACACTGTACTTCCATCCTTTTGTCAGTAAGTGGACCTGTGGTAACCTCTCCCCTTATCTACTGTTTTCCTCCCCTTTTATCCTCTCTCCTCTCCTTCCCTCTCTTCCCTCCCCCACTCTTATATCCACCCTTCTTTCCCTCTTGCTCCTTTCCGCCTCCCTCTACACCCTCCCCCATTACCCTGTCCACTCCTTTCTCTTTTACTCTAAACTACTAGCTATTGGCCAGGTTGGGGGGCTGCTTCAGGAGGGGGGCGGCCTGCTGAGGGTGAGGGTGACCTGCTGACTTATCTACTCTGGTTGCGGCTGCCCCAATACGCTATGACAAGGGAATTTGTATTGGGGGTCAATTTATTGTTATTTCAGGTACCTAGGGGGCTCTCAAGCTCCTGAGGGTTCTGAATATTTTGGAGGATTCTCTGATTCAGTTAGCAAACCCCTTACACTGGTTGATTCATAATAAACAAACTCCCTGACAAATTCCGCCAGTGGCTTGCTACATAGTTCTTATTTATATTTGGTTGGCTGTTTTACCTGCTGTGACTTGATAGTTAAATCCTTGTATCAGCTTTTGCACCTCAGACACTTCTCTTGGTTTAGAGGTGTCTACAAACCCCAATTTTCTTTCTTATTGACAGGTCCCAATATTCGCGCCCTGTCAGTTTGTCTTCTCACTCTATTTATTGCTTATAATTATTTTCCAACCTAGTCTCTCAGGAGGCACTCCTACCTTTCTCCTTTACTGCTTATGTATCCCTCCCATTCAGCCTCCCTCCCGTCTTTTTTTTTTTCTTCCCCTCTCTCCCCCTCCTTTCAGGCCACACGCTGCCTAAGACATAGTGCCTACTGTCACCTTTGTGGTGTGATCCTCCTGCGCTCCTAACTAATATACCTCCTAACTGCTAACACCTAATCATGTACCATGTGACAAGTACAAATCATAAATACAATGGTGCAGCGCTAACTTAAATATAATATTAAACTATAAACAATAAATGTGAAAATAAACATGAACTTGATTCTAGGTGGGATCTTATAGTGAAATATATGTGATAAGTATATGGATTGACCAATAAATTCAACCAAGTGTCAGATGGGACTAGAATCAAGTGTACAAAGTGTACTGACCCATTATGGGATCCAATGTGATATCAGTAAGTGCTATAATCAAACAGGTTAAAAGACTGAAATGAAGTGTATAACGTGAACTGATTCACTGAACTGGGTGGACCAGTTCACGTTATACACTTCCTTTCAGTCTTTCTTTAACCTGGTTGATTATAGCACTTATTGATATCACATTGAATTCCATGGTGGATCAGTACACTTTGTACACTTGATTCTAGTCCCACCTGGACTTGGTTGAATTTATTGGTCAATCATCCTACTGTCACCTTGTATAATGTAAAGGGCTTGAATAGCCCAAAGAAACCCACTAGATTGTTAGGTGAGTTATGGCGCCTATAAACACAGGTCATTTTCCTCCAGGAGACACATTTCTGTAAGGTCAAAATTCAGACACCGAGAAACTTCTACGTCCCCACGGTATACAATAGTGCCTCCCATACTTCTAAGTCTAAGGGAGTAGCTATTCTTCTATCCAAACAAACTCTCTGGGTGGAACAACAGGTACTCTCTGATGCTGAAGGCTGCTTACTCATAGTTAAGGGACTTCTGTGTGGGCAAAGGGACTTCTGTGTAACTTTGGTAAACTTGTATCTACCAAACAAAGATCTGGTCTCCCATTTGGAGGCTTGGCTCTCTACAGTTGACCAACATAAAGAAGATATCCTCATAGTAGGCGGGGATTGTAACTTTTCCTTGGACCCCCTGTTGGATGTTTCACAGGTAGCCTCCCATTTATCCTTTTCCAAAATATGGAAACTAGAACATTGATTCACCATTACCCATTGATAGACAGTTGAAGGACTCTCCATACTCATGACAGAGATTACACCTTTTATTCATCTCTCCAAAAAATGTACACTAGAATTGACTACTTTTTCATAGCAGAGAGCGCTAAACAGAGAGAAAGAATATTATTATTTGTCCACAAGTCCTCCCTTGTCAGCTGATGTCAGGAGGTGGGATATAAACTCCTCATACGCTGGTACCGAACACCTGTGACAGTTATACTGCATGTACCCACAGAGTACATGTACCCACAGAGTTCCTGTTGGAGATGTTTGGAATCAGAGGGAACCCTGTTTCATAATTTTTGGGAATGTCCCAAATTGACAGGGTTCTGGACCATGGTGGAGTGGACGATTAAGACTCCATGGGGGTGTCTCTTGGAGGAAATCCAGTTGCTATTCTGCCGCATGACACACCACTTTCTCACAAGCGATATAAAAATTCTTTACTCAAACATCTTCTCAACACAGTGAAGGCATGTATTCCTGTACTATGAAAGGGCCCTAACCCACCAAATTGCCACTCAGTGGCTTTTACGAATTTCAGAGATCCAACAAATGGAGAACCTAACTATGATACTAAAAGAACAGGAGAACTATTAAAAAATGTGGACTCTTTATTTCTTCTATACAGACCAAACAACTCCCCACCGCAATAAAGTGGGACCTCTTTGCTCTTTCGAACACCTCTTTGAAGAGAAGCATGGTCTGAAGGAATGGGAGGGACTTTCTAATAACCCCCCCTTTTTGTCTCTTCTTCTGCTCTGACTGGCTTGGGGTTTGACACCTTCCCCCTTCTACACGTGCAAATACTCAAAAAGCAGGGAAGATCGACTTGACCTGGTGCGTAGATGAAATACACTATATGGCCATCTACTTGATGCTCAATGGATCCACGGATCCTTGCCATACTGCTTATCTGTTGAGTCATGTAGTGCCTTGTTTATCGTACTTTCTGTTGTGAACGTACATACTGTATTTGACTCTTGCAATGGCATGCTGATTCTTTTCAAATACAGGATTAAAAAAAACCCAAAAAACTCTTCAGTAATGCTGGGTAGATCAGAAGTCCCCTAATCTGTCAATCAAATGATGTAATGTAAGTGGGCAGGTCAGATTTGGAGTCTGAGACTCCCGTGTCCCCCCACTACAGAGAGCAGTAAAAGAATTATGTCACTGCTCAGTGTAAAAGGAACTACATAGAGGATGTTACAGGACTGATGTCCGGGGGAATAACAGGCACAGCAGCCAATGTTACTAAACAGAAATAAAAGAGAAAGAGCCCTTCTTCTGACTTGTGCAAGTGGAGATTTCTCACTGGAGGAAAACCTGTATGGAAAAATTGCTGAAAGGTAAGAAATGACTTCTGTATCAATGATAAAAATGTTTTTTCCTTGAGTTCAGCTTTGAGGAAGTCTGCTCATTAACTTGGACTTCCACACACAATGTTTCCATGCATTGGCAGCTACTATACAGTGCCATGGGATTCCATTTGCAATGAATGGCACCACGCTGCACCGTGAGCAATGCAATGGAGCATTTTAGCATGTTACTGAAAAGTATATGTGTGAATGGGCCCTCATTTTAAATCCATTTCTTCCTACTTTCAGCTGAGCTCCAAGATAGTAAGTGAAGGAAAATTGACCCAATGGGACACAAACAGCAAAAAAAAAATATTGTTCACTGAATCCAAAACTAAAAAACAGAAAAAAAGTTTTGGCTTTATAAATACTTCAGTAATACACAATCACTGTATTAACTATTCCACATTTGCAAAGAATGCTCAGGTGCAATTTTTGTTTCAATGTTTTATATTAAGTTTTAAATACAGGCAGTCCTCGAGTTTCAAACATTCATACTTAAGAACAGAGGCAGCGTGACCTCTTGCTGGTCCTGGAAACCGTTGGGAGGCATCTTGCTGTTTACTGCATGCTACCACCTACTGTCTGGCGGACCTGTCAGCTTTCCCACATCACTGCATGGCCAGTTAAAACCTTCCCTATGCTATCCAAAACTTAAAAATAATTTTTGGCCAGAGTTACCTTTAAAATATTTACGTGTACCAACTTACATACAAATTCAACTTAACAAAAAACTACAGAAACTATCTTGTTCGTGACCCGGGAACTGCCTGTAATAACATTCACTCAGGTTCAATTTTTATTTGCACACAACTGGTAATTAAAAAAAACCCACAAACGTTTAGGTACAGCATGAGAAAAAAAAACCCTGGTGAATTCTGGTAAACCTCAGGCACTGTTTTGTGATTTTGGAACCTTGCTCTTTGTAATAATATAGATACTGTTTACAGGTGATTCTTTGGATCGATCACACTTATTCCTCTTGCATGGTGATCCGCAGGCACAGACCTGGACAGATATTACCAATCTGGTTGTGTTACAGATTACTCATATTTACGCCCACTTCCAGGTGGATCATTTCTCTTGGTGAGTATGTTGCATTAATTTTGCTTAAAGTGCTATTAAACTCAGAACCAAAAATGGAATATATTGAAGCTTACCAATCATTAGATATGTCAGCTGCATTAGTTTTCTTTTTAAGCTTTTCCCCTCTCTGTTTTCACCTGTAATCACACCTCCTGTATTAGACTGCCTCCACTCTGGAAGAAGGAGCACAAGGGGCACAGCAGACAGCAGCATTATTAAGGGGGTGGGGGAGGGGGTGTTAGATGTACTAGCATGCATTTAGATACACTATTTAGATACTGTATATACACTTAGATACACTAACAAATTGAAGCCAAACTCCAGCTCACACTGCAGTTACACAGGCAGTTACAGTAACAGTTTTTTTCCCTTTTGGGATATTGGTTTTACATGAATAAATAATACTCATTGCTGTAAACACCCCTGACCGTGGTAAATGGGTTGTTTCAGAACTTTGCAGGAGAGCATGTTCTGTTAAAAACTACTGGCCAGATCATAAGGGGAAAATGAAAGAAAGCCTAAAAAGAAAAATAATGCAACCATCACATCTAAGAATTGGTAAGCTACAATATAATGTTTGCTTTTTGGGTTTAACACTGCTTCTACCTGATTGTAGCTGTATTATTGCACTCACAACAACACAATTAAGTACTGTCCATGATACTTTTTTTTAAAAATTGCACTAACAGTTATGTTTTCAGGACAAGCTTTCAGGGCATGCCCTCTTTGTCTGAGGTTCAAGCTTAAAGCGAAGTCCCACCCAAAAGGGGGAACGGGTACCCTATTTTGAAAGGTACTTGCTCCCACTTCCGCTGCGAATGCCTAGCAATTGGAAGTGGAAGTTGTCCTCCCTCTCACCCTGTAGTCTTCTGAGACACGTGACGGGTCCCAGAAGACTACAGGACCATTCACAAGGTTCAGCACTACTCACAAATGTGCAGTGGGCACCCGGTTGTGAAGCTTTTATTTTTTTAGATTTTTACTGGAACTCCGTGGGGAGTCCAACTAACTGACAGTTAGTTGGACTCCCCACTTAGAATTCAGTTTGAATTATCTGGAGTGGATGTCCATTCTCTGTTGGCGGTGGATCATATTTGTGAATCCATGTCACTATGGAGCAAATCTGATAAATAAGACCCCCTATCTCAAGGACAAGCCCTCATTTCTTGGATATTTTGAATCAAACATTTGGAGCTCTACAGTTCAGCTGTGGTCTTTTACAAGCTTATAAACTTGTGTCATGCATAGTAGTGATATCTGCATATGAGAGGAGCACCTGGGATGTTGAGGATATGGCCAAAGAACATTGAGTTTACTTGCCTTTTATGGAAAGGCATCTCTTCTACCTCCTATTCAAGTAGCAGATTTGGGGGCCAGATGCCCTTTTCCACATCTTCACGACCTTCTGCATAAAGGTATGCCAACTCTGGTGCAAGTGGGGGATGTTTAATCATTCTTTTGGATCCCTTGGTGGTTTATCTCATCGTAATGTGGATGCTCAGACTTTCCCTTGCAGCTTCCATTTTGGATCCCTATACCAGGCACCTTCTTTAAGTGCACCTCCTGGTACCCCATTGTGCATATTTCCTCCACCCCCAGTCCTACTTTGGCAGCACCCTTTCCTTTGGAATGCTATTTCATTGTATCTTGCTCTTCTCTTCACAAGAGTGTGCTTCTCCACAAATGGTGGCACCCCTTGTGGGCACTTCACTTTCTTTAATCCCTCTCCTTATAGATCTTGTGGGCTGTAAGATTGTGAAGGATCAATTCCTACTGAATCTTTAACTTTAAAATAATCTGTCTCTTTAGTGATCCCCAATAATTGTGGACAATTTTTGATGGCATTGACTCTTTTATGTCCACCCCAGTGTCTTTTCTTGGCACCCCCATGGTGGAACACTCAGGAAATCTTCAGTCATTCTCCCTATACATTAAGAAATCCTTTGTTGGTTTTCTTAATCTGAGCCCAGCAAATTCTACTCTTCATAGGGCTACGTTTTTTGATTCTTAAAATTATATATTCACCTATTAGCCATTTTTACAGTGAGGATATCATACCTATAGTTGTGGGTTGAAAGGACTCCTTTTCATTCCTCTGCTTCATGTTTCTTGTATGACAGTTTACAGTACAACATATCCTCACTACTGACTATTTTTTTTTCGTGCAGGTGTGGTTGATCATACCACCTTCTAATTAAATGTTTTCAGGGATACTACGTTTCTATTTTTCCAAGCTTAAGGGTTCCTTTTCCCTCTCTCCATTTTTTTTTTTTTCTGTTGAGAGGGCTCTCACAATCATACATCTTTCCTGAGAGTTTACTTGTCTATAAAACCACACTATTCATATTCTGACATCTTTTCGCTGAAATTAAGAGGTGAGGATGTTTTATATAAGCCCCTGGCTGGTTTACAGTTGTTTTTTTTTTTGTGTTTTTTTTTTCTTTATATAATGGACATTCCTTATCTGTCCTTTGCTTTTGAGGGCCATCATTTTTTCAAGTAATGGTATTCTCTTAATGGTGATTACCTACTTTGGTCTGGAGCACTAGGTTATTCCTTGCCCTTTCCCAGGGTCATGGCAGTTTTCCAATGTTTGATTGACCTTTGATGCATTGTCTTCATTCAGGTGTTTGTCCTTTCTAATTCTCAGTGGTTACTGCCCATCTCTCAGTTGCACTGCTTTTGGACATCTTAAATGTCTAAGAATTACTGAATTCCTTACAGTAATATCTTTTTCGTCTTTCAGTGATGCAGGACTATGGTACTGGTCTTACCTACTGCTTGCTGACAGAATTTAGGCATGATGGTTGGAGGCAGGTTCAAACAAGTGCCAGATTAGGATTTTGTTGTTTGTAATTGCCCCAACCTTCTGTAGGTGATCGTATAACCCAAATGTCTATGAATTGCTGAATTAATTTGTCCCCAAGAAAAAGATTTTCTTGCAAGTACAAAAATCTTATTTGTTGTAGCATAGGGAAGGGTTAGGACTTCCACAAGGTGCTATTACTGCCCCATTGGAGAGATTTTGCTGCATTTCCATCTCCAGAGTCAGATCATAATACAGGGATTCAACCTAATTTCCTATCCCCTGCAACACCTTAGACAGGCAGAGGCTATGCTCTTTCTCTATCCTATCAAAACATAAAAATGTGCTTTCGCTTAAGTTCCACTTTAATTTTTGACCACACATATTCAATTAACATAGTCTTGTAAATGCATGAGTAATTTCTGTTTTTTATGTTTGTTTTTAAGGTACTGGCTATGGTACACCACAAAATCCTATGTGGGTGAGCTTGCAAAAACTGTGTATAAGCGCCTTCGTATGTACCAGGTAAACTTTGTAGCTCTACAGAGGAAACGAGACCCAGAACAAGTGTTGCTGCAATGCGTCCCCAAACATAAGGTAATGTTTCATGATAAATAACTTCTGAATGTGCTGCTATCCTTTTTATCTTCTAAATTCCTCATTGAATGTTGCAGTTACAAATATGACATATTCTTTGTGGAAAATGATTCTGTTAAGTACATTAGTGGTTTGTTTATGAACTGATCGGTTTAAGCTCCTGCAGCAGATGAAACTGATCAGTCCATAAACAAACTGCCAGTGTACTTAAAAGAAAGAATCAATTTCCACAAAGAATACATTTCTACACCAGTCCACCAAAATTTTTCGATATCTCTAATGCACAACTAAAAAATTTCTCAATTCGAAGCAAAACGCCAAAAAACAGCTAAATACATGGTTGAAATGTATATATGTTTACTGTTCTACCTACCAAAGTATTGAGGTTCTCTACAAACAACCTTGTGATTTACACACATTTTGTATACTACACAAAGTTTTTAAAAAAACATTTAGGTCCTCTTCACACTTACTTGTTAGGGTAAATATGTGTACTACCGTAGCGCATGGCAATACACCTGTATACATGCGGTGCATTTTTCTCTGTACACGTTGTACAATATAGGGCAACATAAGGCTAGCCAAGGTGAGTTTTTGGATCTGTTGTGGTATGCTGGCAGACAATTTAAAATGAATGAGCTGCCTTAATGCAATGCAAAAAAAGTTAATGCACCGCATGACATTGTGGTGCACTGCAAAATATAGGTTCAATTTGTTTTTTTTTAATCAATTGTTATGAGTTGGAAGCCTGTGGTGTGTTGGAAGTGTGAATAGGACTTTAAAGTTGTTTGCTGTCTCTTTCAGCTTCAGAGAAACACATAGAAGTGAGCAGACTTACAGTCAAGCAAATTGTACACATTTCTTAATTGTGCCCTGAACTGAATCACAGAAAGACATCTGTATGTTTTAGAGTATATGATTCCGTCAAGTGAAAATCCACAGCTACTGTAGATGAAGCTAGGTACTAGCACGTAAGATTCTTTGCATGTCTTTTCTGGTTGGACTTGTGGTGCTCTTGTCTTAACTAACACAGTGAAGTTGATTTACAGTACTAAAGGGGTAACGCAGTCTTACTGAATTTGGGGATGCTTTGTAAAAAAAAAAAAATCAATATGCAAAGAATTCCCAAAAAGTGATTCTGCATAGCTACACCTCATTCATTAAGTGAAGGCTAGGTTTTCCTCGAGCTTAGTAAATAGGGTGAAGTTGTGTTCACTTCAGTCACCTAATCCTGTGCAATAAATCATATTGATTTTTGAAGCTCCACCTGAAAAAAAAAGTGGGAGCGGGTACCTGTAAAATTCAGGCACCCCCTCCACCCCCTGCTTCCCAAAGGTGCCAATCCTTAATGGGGAGCGGGGGAAAAAGACTTAAAGCGGAACTTCCCTTTTTGGGTGGAGCTCCGCTTTAAGGTATGAACATGATGATACTTGATCAGAATCTTTTGTGAATGGTTTGTTTGATTTTTTTCATAAATATGCCAGGAAACTACTGTCTGCATGTGTATAGGTTTGTTTTTCAACCTTACTTACAAGAACTAGAGCCAGAAGTTATTTTTGTAACCTTTAGTGCCTGTCAAAGGAGAACTCCCATTATTAAATCTATATGTATATGCACAGGCTCTTAAGGCGAGCAGGTTTACCGGTATTTGTCCCTGGCAAGGACAGCTCCCCCCAGGGAGAACACAGTAGCTCAGTGGGACTGTACTGTGTTGATGGGAGAATTGTGTGATTTTCTTTCCTGCAACCACAAGTTGCAGAAAATCGCATAATGTATGGCCTACCTAACAGAAATGAGCTACAACAATACCATGTTCTTGTTCAGCTATTTTAAATTATTGCATATGTGCCTTGCTATTTTACATCCCTTGCTGTTTTATATCCCTAAAAAGCATTTTTTCAGAAGCAGTTGTTTTTGTGATTTTGCATATAGTTTATTGGGAATGATAAAAGTGTAACTAAAGGCAACATTTTTTTGAGTTTTGCATAGAGTAAAGAGGGATTAGAACACCTGCATGTTTTCATTGCTCTCTATGCCTCCATTAGGGAGATTCACCATCTCTCTTTGTCATATTTACCACTGTCAGCAAAAGTGAAAGTAAAAGAAAAAGTAAAACTGTCTCCGGAACAGTAATAGAAGTGAAATCTTTGAATGGGGACACCACTTCACTTTGGAGGGATTTTCTCTCACTTCCTGTTTTGGGTACGTGACAGGACGTGAAGGGAATCTTCCCAATGGGACACAGAAAAACACCTGACAGGGGTTATGACCCTTCTTTACTCTATCCAAAATGAAAAGAAAATGCGTTTTAGGTTTAGCAGAGTCTTTCTGTAACTAGGTGCATGGGGATTTAGGAGAGTGAGTGCATGTACCCACAAACATAGGGTATTAAGTAGAAAATATGTTATAATCAAACTGTCAACCTTGTTAAGTGTTTGTTTTTTTCAACTTAGTATGGTAATATTAACTTAATTAATTATTTTTTTAATTGTGCTAGTTTTATAAAGCTTTCCAGTTTTAGTTCTGACTATGCTGTAACTGCATAATGTATGTGCTTCTAATACAAAGTCTATGCTTACAGTGGACCTGTACTTTGTCCATTCAGGGCTAAGTAACAGGTTTACTTTAAAGCCCACCATCTCACCTGCTTTCTTTTACCATTCCTGCAGTCCCTCAACTTGTTTTCCTACTGGAGCCAAGTGAAAAAAGACATGTATAAGATCCATATCTTTTGGGGAGGAGTGTACACAGAGCTATGGAACCTATGGCCACCTGATATAATTTGGGCCTAGCCATTGGCCACTCTAATATAATACAATGAAATGTGGCAAATAGGAAGGGAGGGGTCACATGCTCCTCAGTACACCGTAGTATTCGGTAATTTGTTTTTAGCATTGGTAGGTGAGGGAGAGAAGTTAATGTGTGAAAAGTAGAGGTTATTTGTGTGAACATGTTACATTCCACTGAATAGGCAAAATAAGAATTATGAATGGAAAATTGAAAGCCCTCCTGTGGCCTGGTTCTGATTCCCTCCTTTTACTATTTGAAGGTAAGCGCTAGTATTTGCCATTTTCTTCTTCAGGTGAAAAACATAAAAATATGTGAAAGGATTTGGAAATTACATGTAGATCTTTCCACTTTTTTCAACCTTTTGGTGTGTTGCAGGTGTACTTCCTACCCATAAATGTCAGTAGGGATATACAACTCTTAAAATACATTTTTTCAGTTAAACATTATAGTTCAACCTTATCCAACCCTCAATCTTTTTTCCTTCAGAGATTTAAATTGAATTAAATTATATTTTACATCTCTCCCCAGGTGGACTCCACAGTGAAGAAGCTTCGGGATAGATATAAAGGCCCTGAGCCCTCTGAACTAGTAGAACTTGTAGAAGGGGAGCAGTTCTTTGCTGCATTTGAACAGGGGCTAAAGCTGCATTCAGGTACAATGTGTTTCAGCTATGGATTCTACCTTTCATATCACCCTCCAGAGCAGAATCTGGTGATGTGGTATAGGAATTGGAATCTTTCCTTTCACCCCAAACCGAACAACATAACACAAGGTGCCACTACACTGTAATCCAGACCTGAAGCTTCCACAAGCAGCCGCTGCATCCAATCCAGATAAGGGTGAAGTCTGGTACCATGTATATCACCTTCCAGAGCAGAACCTGATCATGTGGTAATGAGGAAATGGAATCTCAGCTTTCACCCCACTACGAACAAATTTCTCTACTGAAACCACTGAATGTATCCTAATTTCTTTGAAATTGCTGAGATAGAATACAGTACTGATCTTGATAAGAGTTAAGGCGGCAACCCAATATGCAGTGCTGGAAAATCCTTTATTTAAACATCCAGGGTAAAAAAATTCTAGTATACAAAGAAGCACTGATGCATTATATAGATAAGACTAAGGTCTTCTGAGGCAGAAACGTGTCACTGCTTTTTGTATACTAGAACTTTTTACCCTGTATGTTTAAATAAAGGATTTTCCAGCACTGCATATTTACTGGGTTGCCAACTTCACTCTTATCAAAATCAGTACTGTATTCTATCTCAGCAATTTAAATGAAATTATTGTAAATTCAGTGATTTCAGTAGAGAAATTTGTTGGTAGTGGGGTGAAAGCTGAGATTCCATTTCCTATACCACATGACCAGGTTCTGCTGTGGAAGGTGATATACATGGTACCAGACTTCACCCTTATCTGGACTGTATGCAGCGGCTGCATGTGGAAGCTTCAGGTCTGGATTACAGGGTAGTAGCACCTTGTGTTATGTTTGGTTTGTTCTGACAGTCCTGATCTTACATCCTGCTGACTGCATGTCATAGCGTACATAGAACAAAACAGGGAAGTTTCAATAGCATAAGTGAGCAAAGCTTATTTCCCTTGTGACTCACTTTTTCACTGCTAAATATCTTCCCCATAATCATTTAAAGCTTTCTACTGCTTATCCATTGTCTAAAAATCTGGGCACGCACTGCACTGACTGGGAAGTGCAATTCTGATCAGGTTTCAGAAACACTATTCCCCCATCAGGTCTGCTCCCCTTGTGACTGACAGCAGGCAGTGAGCAGACCCATAGCCACTGCCTACTGTCAATAAAAAAAAAGAGCAGACCTGATGGGGAACTAGTATCTCAGCTTCCCCACCAGGCTCTGCCTACTCTCATTGTCGGCTGTGAACCTGACAGTGTGCTTGACAACCAAGTGACATGTGGGGAGGACGGGGAGGCGCAGCATACACAGTGTACAGAGACAAGTCCTCTGCCTGTCTCTGTATTGGTTTTTAATTACCATTAGTTTTGTGAGCTACTATTTCTTTTTCAATTTTGTGTAGCTATAGTTCATTTAAACTAACAGGGCACTTTAATGTCACCAACAGAAAGCAGCGATATTTCAAGGCCACTAAGGGTCTTCTCGCTGCCTGAAGAAGAGGCACTTAGGGATGTTGCTGCTTTCTGTTGGTGACATTAAAGTGTACTGTCTTTTTATCTGAACATGGTGTGCTGGCGATATCCTGGACCTTGTAAAAGTGTCACTATTAAGAACTATCTGAATCTGCAGCATGTGTTAGTAAAGCTGCTGAAACTGGAAGCAGGGATTTTTTAATCTGGTGCAGGACCTTTTAAAGAGCCATACTGCTAGAAAAGTGTTGTGGCGTGTTATTGAAATTCCCCCCAGTATCTTTAGGCATGTACATTTTTTCTCTAAGTGAATTGCTTGTATTTGGAATAACAGCATTTATGAAGCTTCATATACATCCATTTTTTTAATCTTTATTTTTTTTCTTTTTATCATACATACACTAATTGTCTTCTGTCATTGATTCATTGTGTTATGGAGCCTGTATCGCTAAATTTCAAATTCATTATTTTAACTCAGAGCGACCAGATTGTGTGGATGGAAAAATATCTTTTGTGTTCTATGCAAAAATGAAAAACATAAAGGAAGTATATGTGACTTCATTTACTGACAGGAAGCAAGAGGATGTTAAAGGGCAGGTGAGTAACTTTCAGGCCATATAACTTACTGGTGGTTTTATAATGTACAGAATACATTATCAAAGATAAGTTCTGACCTCTACAAACCTGAGTCCCAGCTCTTTTGTGCATTGTGAAAAATGTATGTAGTGTCCCATCATGCCTTATCTACTATCCATACATGTTTTTGGGATGCTGTGTGATGTGACCGTCCACATGTTTTTAAAGTATTGAGAATCACTTATGTCTTGGTCCTGCTTCCTCAGGTGTCTTTTTACCGTGGATCGGTTCCAGAAGCTGTACCTGAGGAAGCCACTAAACACAGAAAAGGCACAACATCTGACTGGATGGCCACATTGCCTATCAGATTACCAGTACGTGGACGTTTTTTTAACCCTTTTGCTGCCAGAGGCTTATTTCACTTATGTTTAAAAATAATTTTAGGCCTGAAGTTTACTTAAAACCTTCAAAACAATATATATTTTCTGAAAGCAGAGACCATAAAGAATAAATTAGTGGTAGTTTCTGATTTTTATGTGACACAATATTAATACAATAGTTTATAAAGCACAACATTTCAGTAAAAACAATCTAAAGTTAATTTTAGGGCACACAAAGCAATATATTACCCAATTTTTGGAAAAATATTAAAGATGAGGTTGTGGCGAGTATATTAATACCCAACATGGCAAACCAAGAAAATGTGTGCACCCATGAAACAGCAACAAAATATTGGTACCCTAAAGTTTCCATATGTGATACTTTAAGGCCAAGTTCACACCTGTACATTTGTCTATGTATTTTGCAGGAACGCAGTGCATGCCATTTATCATGATTTCCTATGGATCATGTTCACATCTACGCAGTTTTTGCGGGTGTGTTTTTTGGAAGGGTCAGAAACTTCTTTTCCCGCAGAAGTTTGCATTTTTAGTCCAATAGACTTCAATGGAACTGCATATAAAACACAAGTGCTGCATTTTGTGTGCGTTTTTTATGCATTTTTGGTGCTTTTTGATGCAACACGTCAAAAATGCATCAAAAAACATGTGCAAAAATGCAAAACACACTGCAAAAAGCACTGCAGACACAGATCAAATGCAAACTGCATAGGTGTGTACCTTGCCTAAAAGCCCCTATGAAGCATCAGTTTAGAGTTACTGTAAATAATTTACTTAGAATTCCTACTGTCATCCTGTGTGCACAGCAGTATGAAACATGTGTACTACCATCAGCATAGGCACCCCCGATGCCTGTGTTTACGTATGTATGTGTGTGCATGTATATGGGAGTGGAGCAGGGTGCAACATTTTTTGGGAGGGTACATTTAAGTGTTTGAGTGTATCTTTATTTTTTGAAACTTACTAATTTTCTTTAAATGTAGGAGGCAAAAAGTCCCCTATGTGATTTTTTTTGGTTTTGTTTAACAAGACATCAGGAGGGCGATTTACTACAATTCAGAATCTGGTGCAGCTGTGCATGGTAGCCATTCGGCTTCTAACTTCAGCTTGTTCAGTTAAGCTTTGTCAATAAAACATGGAAGCTGATTGGTTTCTAGGTAGAGCTGCACCAGATTTTGCACTCTACAGTTTTAATAAACAACCCCCCCCCCTCAGGGGTCTAAAAGACCCCTGATGTCTCAACTGCCCTCCAATGACGATAATGGAGTGCAGATCACGTAGGGACAGAGTTCTGGTGTGTTTGGAAGCAATCTGGCACTTCCATCTAACAACTGATAGTCAGTGAGACAGATTTAGACACATTTCTGGCTCCTGTAACAGCCAGGAGTGTGCGTAAAACCGCCACTGCTGCCAACATATGGCATGCGTCAATGGCATCGAAAGTGCTAAGTTGTAGAACAAGACACAAAAAACTGTGCTCTAAAAAGGTAAAGTGTAAGCCTGTATTCACACCTGAGCAAAGTTTGAGCAAAGCAGATTCCTGGTGATGTTTAAGCTTTTTTTGGTGTTTTTAAAGCACTTAACAAGCATTCTTTATACATTTTTGTTTTCGTGTATCAAACTTCAGGCTTTTGTTTCTTGGGGTAGGCAAGGGGAGGAGAGGAGAGCAGTTTTCAAAGGTGAAGAAGTGCTATTCAGGTGCAAAAGTGTACATAAAAAAGGCATGAATACAGGTGCTCAGTTTGAAGTCTACAGGGCTCCAAAAACAGCTCAAATATTTCCTTTAATGGAAGACATAGAGTGTACAAGCAGCTGAGCTTTGAAATGTGAGCAAACACAATTACAAACAATGGTATTCTAAATCCTCATGTCAGAGCCTCCAAAATGCAGAACAGAGAGCTGCCCATTAATGACATCACTGGATCCCATTCCAAATCTCTTTGGGCAGCAGTGAATTGGATGAAAAACCACATTCAGATATACAGGTTTGAGGCCATAGGTTGAAGAGCTGCTAGACACCATCATGCATCATGATACCAAGTGCATTGTTATTTTTTCTAGAGGAATTCAAGACAAAGAGGTTGTTTTACAAAAGGCAAATAAACTGCACTTTGCAAGTGCAGTTGTACTCTGCAAGGGAATTTGCTCCAGAGACTCAATAAATGAGGGGAAGCTCTGCTGACTTGTGCATGCAAAAATGCTGTTTTTTCCCTTGCTTGTAATGGGGTATTCTTTGCAAAGAGGAGCTTCACCTCATTTACTAAGCTCTGGAGAAAATTCCCTTGCAGAGTGTCACTGCACTTGCAAAGTGCACAGTCAATTTATTTTTAGTAAATCAACTCTAAAGCGTAATTCTTTTTCAAGGTGTTGCTTGGGCACCATTTACATTTCTAAATGTTCCCTATAACATAGCAAAGCTTCACTTTTTGAGTTCAGGTCCACTTTAATAACCAAGCCAAGCTTATTAACAAAATATAAGCTCTAACATTTTTTGTACTGTTTTATTCTTTTATGTACAGAAAATAAAAAGTCTTAACTGGAAGGATGAAAGGCAAAGAATTAGCTACACACTGAGTCCCTTGAATTTAGGCAATGCCGAGGTTGGTTACCTCACAGAAACCAACTTGCTCAGTATTGCCACTCAGATTGGATCAGACTGGATGAACATTGGCATTAACCTTGGTCTGCCCCACACAGAATTACAACGTATTAAGTATAACAACAGGTGAGTTCAGGAAATCTTCACCGATGTCTAATGTACCAGAGACATGTAGCTGTTTGTTATTGTGCCTATTCTATGAACAGCTTTTCTGCGTTTTTCTTAGCAATTGAACCCAACCATTCTTTCCATTTGGCTTAAGTCAATAATCCTGATTCCCAAGTACAACATTTAGTATTGGATGTTTCTGATTGTTGATCTGGCTAGTTGGAAAAGTTCACTAATTATCATTAGGGTAGGACAATTTAGTAGAAATGACATCAGATCATTACTTGAAATGTGCATGCTCAGTGAGATGGAGGGAATAAGCAGCCCACTGACATCTTGCCCCCCGTTGCTATCCGATACGTGGGTAAGTATCTGAACAGTTCAAATATATCACCATCAATAGATTAATTTTTATTTCCACCATGTTGTCAGACTTAAGCTGGCCATAGCAGAGACCAGCCAAATTACAATCCCTGTATGGCCATTTACTCTTAACAGAAGTTAATCTAACTATTGATGTCTGTTGAAGGGGAATATTGGAAAAATGTATTGATTAGCAGCTGATCAGTGTATTCTGACAGCGGAGGGGTCTCACTGTCAGAATACAATGGAACAATTAATTTATGGGCAGCTTTAGTCTCATATACTAGGTCAAAGACTAGGGAATTCCCCATACTGAAGCAGCAATGCTAATTATTGATCCTCTGCCACTAAAGTAGACCTGAAAGCCCAAATGTTTTCTTTAGTTTTGAGTGGAGAAGGACTAGACCCTCTGACTGAGGAATCCTTTTCTGGTCAAGGATGCTGGTTGTTCATATTTCATTGAAAATGCATCTCCAAAGACTGTATGGCTGTGAATGCCTACACCAGATACACTGCTCAAAATAATTAAAGGAATACTTTTTAATCAGAGTATAGCATCAAGTCAATTAAACGCCTGGGATATCGATCTGATCAAGTAGCAGAGGGGGTTGTTAATCAGTTTCAGCTGCTTTGGTGGTAATGAAATTAACAACATTTGCGCAAGATGGGCAACAATGAGACGACCCCTAAAACAGGAATGGTTTTACACAGAAAAACAAAATAAAGTGAGCGCTAAGAGAAAAAATCATGAAGCAGCTAGCTAACATGGTGAACCCACTCCATATCACAATAAACATAATAAAAGTGCTGCGCTATGTGACTATAAATCAAAACATTCAATTCATATGCAATCTGGTATAGTAACCACTGTGTGTTGCTACACAGCAAAACAATATAAATGTGCAATACTGAAAATATATAAGTAAATAAATGAAGAATACTTTGAAAAGTCCAAGTGAATATAAAGTCCTCAGTCAAATGTTCTTCAGTGCAAAAAGTGCTCTTTAGTAGTAATACTGCACCCACAATTAGTATGAACCGCAGTCAGAGAGTGAAGTGACATCCTAATGTAGAAAAAAAGACATCTGTGAAATCCTTCACCACTATGCACTCACCAGAACTAAAGTAAACCAGGCTTGTAGCAAAAAATCCTCCAAGGTATGCATATCTCCTCCACAGAAAGGCTGGTATGCGATCTTTCAATGATGTGACCTAAAAAGGAGGGCTATTCTCTAGTGTCTTAAAGAGTGAACATCATTGATTTATTTCTCCCTGCTCTCCAGCAACTTCTTTAACACATTTAAATTATTAGATTATCAGACCATTATCAGCTGTAATAAGCACAGCAGACATAGCATGTTTCTCAGGCACAGATCCTCCCCTGTAAAATCAGGAATGGTCTTACAGGTGAAGGCCACTGATATTTTTTTCCCTACTCATCTTTTCTGACTGTTTATCACTAGGTTTGCATTTGGCTAGGGTCAGTGTCACTACTGGTAGCATGAGGCGATATCTAGACCCTACAGAGGTTGCACAGGCAGTCCAACTCCTCCAGGATGGCACATCAATACATGCCATTGCCAAAAGGTTTGCTGTGTCTCCCAGCGCAGTCTCAAGAGCGTGGAGGAGATTCCAGGAGATAGGTAGTTACTCTAGGAGAGCTGGACAGGGCCGTAGAAGATCCTTAACCCATCAGCAGGACTGGTATCTGCTCCTTTGTGCATGGAGGAACAGGAGGAGCACTGCCGGAGCCTTACAAAATGACCTCCAGCAGGCCACTGGTGTGAATGTCTCTCACCAAACAATCAGAAACAGACTTCATGAGAGTGGCCTGAGGGCCCGACATCCTCTAGTGGGCCCTGAGCTCACTGCCCGGTGCCATAGAGCTCGATTGGCATTTGCCATTGATCACCAGAATTGGTAGGTCCACCACTGGTGCCCTGTGCTTTTCACAGATGAGAGCAGGTTCACCCTGTGCACATGTGACAGACGTGAAAGGGTCTGGATAATCCGTGGAGAATGTTATGCTGCCTGTAACATCATTCAGCATGACTGTTTTGGTGGTGGGTCAGTGATGATCTGGGGATGAAATCCTTGGACCCATTGTCAGACCCTATGCTGATGCAGTAGATCCTGGGTTCCTCCTGGTGCATGACAATGCCTGGCCTCATGTGGCAAGAGTATGCAGGCAGTTCCTGGAGGAAGAAGGAATTGATACCATTGAATGGCCCCTACGCTCGACTGACCTAAATCAAATATAACACCTCTGGGATATCATGTTTTGGTCCATCCGATGCCGTCAGGTTGTATCTCAGACTGTCCAGGAGCTCATTGATGCCCTGGTCCAGATCTGGGAGGAAATACCCCAGGACACCATCCATCATCTCATTAGGAGCTGATGCCACGATGTTGTCAGGCATGCATACAAGCACGTGGGGGCCATACAAACTACTGAGTACCATTTTGAGTTGCTGCAATTAAATTTCAGCAAAATGGACTAGCCTGCTGCATCATTTTTTCACTTTGATTTTCGGGGTGTCTTTGAATTCAGTCCTCTGTAGGTTGATCATTTTCATTACCATCAAACGAAGGAGCATCCTTATGTTTCTAAACACATTACCCAGTCCATATCAGTATAGATATCCAGCATGATATTTTTTTTCCCCATTGAGATCAATGTGTTTTCAAAGTGTTCCTTTAATTTTTTTGAGCAGTGTATAAAAGATGCTTTCAAACAAGCAACATGATAGAGAAAAGGCATATACATTAAACTTACTAATAGTAGTAGTCTTAGGCCCTTGTGCAAAAAACATGTCATAGCTAGCACATTTTATTTCTAGAGGATCACAGTCGACGACTAATTTTTACTCCAAAAAAGAAGAGGTTGTTGCATATGTGTCTATGCCATGTTGTTGAAAACATTTATTTATACTATACAAATTACATAATACTGTAGGTGTTTTTACTATAATGTACCTCAAAAGGTAAAATTTACAAATATGCAATCAGATCAATGTGGATTGTAGAATTTGTATCCCTATGTTCATACCCAGGATTTTTCACGTGAACTCTGTTTGTTTAAATTGGAATAGGCTCATCAGTGCTGCTGTCTCCCTCCTCCCGGGGGGTGTGTCCAGGACGAGGGCCGGCAAAATGTCATCCCCCACACCTGGTAAACAGACAAACAGTAATTCTACTTGCAGTTTATGGATGTAGTCAATAAAACCTGCTTAATACTTTAAGTGGTGCACATCTGCAGCCATTGAAGACCTTTCCTAGAGCGCAAAATACAACCATATATGCGTCATCTAGGATGGCACATGGGCCTTTTCTGAGAGGGATTTCTAAAGTGTAGTTGTAGCTACATCAAAGGTCTGTAATTGCTTTTTTTTCTGAGGGGATAGGTTTATAAGCATGTGCAGCTTTTAAAATACACCTACATTTATCTTGGAATATTCCTAAATAATGTGACAAAATTGTGCTTTCCTCATGTACAGATAACAATTATTATAAAGGCTAGGGTTATCAAAAAATTTTTTAATTTAAGGTGAATGCTGGTAGGTTGATTTTTTTTTTTAATCAGCTTCTTATACATCACCAGGACCATCAAAAATTATGTTCAGAAGTAACTGTTTATGGAGGGTTTAACACTACCTTGCTCAGGTTAAAGTGGTTCTAAAGGATGAAGGTTTTTTTTTTTACATTCATGCATTCTATGCTTGAAGGTAAAACATCTTCAATGCTCATCACCCCCTAATACTTACCTGAGCATGATCTCGATCCACCAATGTGCACAAGAGCAGCGACTCTCCCAGCTCTCTCCTTCCTTATTGGCTCAGAAACATCAGTGGGAGCCAGTGGCTCAGAAACATCAGTGGGAGCCAGTGGCTCCCACTGTGGTCAACCACAGTTCGGAGGGAGTGGGGGCAGGGCTGAGCCATGCTCTGTGTGTCTCTACAGACACACAGGGTTTTTTTTTACCAAAGCTGGTTCACTCAGAATCTCATGCAGCTGTGCATGGTAGCCAATCAGTTTCTAAACTCCGCTTGTTCATTTAAGCTTTAGCCTGGGTTCATATATGTGAGGTGCAGTATATTGCATGTGATTTGCACAGGAACCGCACTGCATTCCTGTTCAAATCACTTGCGATTTGTGTGCGGCGCAATTGGAGCCATACATTTTGTATGGCTCCAATCGCACCGCACCCGCACCAAAAACGTGCAGGACCCTTTTTTAGTTCCACACTAGAATCGGATGGCATAGGTATTCACAACTAGGTAATCCGATTCTGCAAATCGCACCGCGTTCTGCAGACCGCTTTCGGGGTGTTGTTAACATACATACATGCAGTGGTTCACATGAACGGGGTGCAATTCTGATGCGGTGCGGAATTCGCACTGAAAATGCTGCGAATTCCTCACCGCATCAGTGTTGAACCAGGGCTTAGTAATAAAACCTGGAAGCTGATTGGTTTCTATGCAGTAGTGCACACGATTCTGAGTGAACCAGCTTTAGTAAGTAAATCCCACAGTGTGGGGCTCAGAAGCGAGCCATAGCAAGCGAGGGGCCAGGAGTGCCAATGGAGGACCTGAAGGGGAGCTTAAGGGCTGCTCTGTGCAATAACATTGCACAGAGCAGGTAATCATAAAATGTTTGTGATTAAAAAGAACACAAAAAAAAACTGAGCCTTTAGTATCACTTTAAGGGTGACCCAAACAATACTGGACACAGAGTGGTGAAAAGAGGCATTTCAGTAGGAAGAGCTCACTGCATAAGCTCTGTATATACGTCTTAGCCTTATCTGCCCTGTCCTCAGCCCTGTCACCAATCTTCTTCTTACCTGTCCTTGATCCACTAAGATATCACCCACAAAGCTGCAGTCACATATTCCATTCAATCCTTTGGAGAGTCTGCACTGTTGTGTTTGAGTCAGAACTCTCCATTGGATGAAATGGATAGCACACAGGACATGTGCATGTCCGGCTCAGATTTTTGAAAAGTGCCTTTGTAACTTCATAGGTGAAATTTCTGTGGATCAGGGACAGATTAATATAAGGCAGGGAAGGTTGGGGCAGGACAGCCTCCAATAATACATTTTAATTTTCAAGTTGTATTGTGATGTAATACAATTCCAATATTCCCCTACCATAACTGTTTTAGTCATTGAAATCTCACCCTGAAAAGAAAAGAATGACCTAGAGAATTTTCTTCTCCTCTAGCAATGATTTTAATCAGCTGGTATTAGATATGCTGTTTACGTGGGCACAGAAGAACTCTACAGAGCCAGACTGCATAGAGAAGCTTGTGCAGGCCATGCGGAAAAGCAAGAGAAATGACATAGCAGATGAAATAGAAGATGTGATTGCTTTAGGAAAAGAAAAGTACAAACAGTCCATCCAAAGAGTAGGTCTTGACCAAGGCAACAGCAGTGAAGACTCAGCCATTGTCATGAGCCAGTCATGAGGACTCAACAGACAGAAGATGGTATATAAAAGATGAATAATTAGGTAATGGTGCTTTTAGCTTTCCTTCCATGACAAGAAAAGATTAAGTCTCCATGTTATACCAGAAGAGATCTAACAACTACATGAATGGCATTTGAAAGCTAAGCTGCCCTTTTTAAAGTGAACCTTTCCTTTATGTTATTCAAGGCAAAGTAAAACAATTATTTTAGCTATCCTCCTCCCCAGCAACACATTCCCTTGCTACCCCTCCCCCCCCCCCCCACTAATTTGATTGGCTGGTAATAGAAAGTGCAATTCTTGGTACTTTGGTGTATCATTGGCCTTGTGACTTGCCTTCCTTCCCTATGTGTCAGTGCTAGGTTTCTCTCGATTGGCCCTGTGCTTCTACACACATAGTGGGCCGCTTCCTTGGTATTGACTCTGGCAACCTGATTTCAAGCTTACACAGGGCTTTCATTTACTTGTTCCACAAATAAGCAGAGAGTGCGGGGTGGTTTAAGTGAACCTTTCATTTTTCTCTAAATGGGAAAAGAGAAGATTTACTTAAATCTATAAATGTTTTATTCCAAACTAAAAAAGGGTGAGATTTTCCCCCCTCACTGGGTATATCAACAGCCTACACAAAGCAGGATTCACTACGTGATTTACCAAAAGCATATAGGCTGTTCACTTTACAAGGGAATGGAATTTGCCCCAGAGATTAGCGAATGAGGTGAAGCTCTGACTTCCATCAGCTAATCATGTGCAAGAACATATGCAGTTTTTTTCAATGTTCCCTGCACGTGGTTGGATACTCTTTGCAAAGTGAAACTTTATTACATTCACTACGCTCAGGAGAAAATTCCTTTGAAATTTGCAACTTTACATTATGTATGAAATGTATGTACTGTGTGTTGATATGTAAAGTTTGTGTACATAGTATATGTGTATACAGATGTGATGTATAAAAAAGTACATTTTGGTTGCCCTAGACACTTTCAGATAGTAGAATGTAACTTGTTTGACAGTGAGGTTTTTTCTTGTACACACAGCAGAAGAAATTCCTTAATCTTGCCACACAACGAGACAGATTTACGATGAGATCACAGCTAGATTCGTAAATTCTTATAACCTGAGAAAAAAAATATTTCTTTGCATAGATGTTTCAGATCTCTGCAGAACTGTCAGTGTTGTCTTCTCTGGAGTGCAGGACTGGCTAATACACAAAAAACGTACCACAAATCCACTTGATCCACCAACTTAAAGTCTTGGTGTGCAGACTCTCTAGGACAGGGATCTGCAAACTGAGGCCAACGGGCCGGATTAAACTTTTTGCTTTCCTTTATCCTGCCCTTGGGGCACTATTTCTTCCACTGACACCAAAGACAGAGCACTATTTCTCACACTGACACCAACAATGGAATACTATTCCTCCCACTTACACCGGATATGGGAAACTGATTCTCCCACTGACACCAATGATGGGGCACTATGATGTTTTTTTATTTCCACTGACCATGGAATTGTTTACTCCCACCCATGCCGAGACATTTTCTACTCCCACTGTCCACAGTCTGACCTCCCTAAACTTTTTTTTTTTTTCATTAAGCTTTTCGTAAAAAATTTAAAGTTTGCACTTTGCACTATGTAAAAATTTATAGGTAAAGTTGATCCAGGGAATATCCGATTTCCTCTCGGGGGATCAGGAAGGAATTTTTTTCCCTGCAGGAGCAAATTGGATCATACTTTGCTGGGTTTTGTTGCCTTCCTCTGGATCAACTGTGGGTATAGGATTATAACTTTTTTTTTTATTGGATGGACTTTTGTCTTTTTTCAGCCAGACTACCTATGTAACTAAAACAACATGCACGGAGCTACACAGCCAAATTCAGCCACGCAGGGCCTCAGTACACAAAACACAAGATACCCGTAAGGACTTCACAAAGTTCAACATCCCTAAAATTTGAAAAGCAGTAAATTACACCTTTGTTGAGAAAGTTTGGAGACCCCTGTCCTAGGAACTATAGACTGCTTCTACCTTAAATGAAGCTGGAGATTTTCTTGAAGACTGCTACATGCCCAAAACCTAGTGGAAGGGAACTTAAAGTGGTTGGAAAGGCTCAAGGTTTTTTACATTTATGCATCCTATGAATGAAGGTAAAAAAACCTTCTACGTGCAGAACCTGTGTGCACCTGAGCCCCATCGTGATCCAGTGATGTGCATGAGAGCCTCAGTTTTCGGGGACCCTTCCTTCTCATTGGCTGAGACAGCAGTGGGGGCGATTGGCTCCCACTGCTGTCAATCACAGTTAGTGTGCCAATAAGGTGAGAGAGGGGGCAAGGCTGAGCCACATATCTGTGTGTGATGAAACATGCAGAGCAGCTGCTTGGGAGCGAGCATGTGTGGGTGCTCCCATAGCAAGCATGTGCTTGCTCTGGGGGCACTTGGCATGAGGGAGGGGCCAAGAGCACTGGTAGGGGACCTGAGAAGAGGATTGGGGCTGCTGTGTGCAAAACCATTGCGCAGAGCAGGTAAGTATGCCATGTTTGTTGTGTGCTTTGTTTATTAATTGCCTTTAATATCACTTGAAAGCAGAACTATAGGCAAACCTTTTTTCCTTCGGATAGAGTTAGGGAAGGTTATAACCATCTGTGTCTCATTTTGGAGATATACCCTTCACTTTCTATCCCATAGCCAAACAGGAAGTGAGTGGAAATCCCTGCAAATTATGAGAATCCATTGGGGACCCCCAGGTTTCTAAAACTAGTATCCAGTTGGAAGATTCCCCTCTATTACTTTTCTGGGGACAGCCCAAAATTTGGGATTTTTCTTTTACTTTCAATGATAATGGTAAACAGGACAAATAGAGAGGGTAAATCTCCCTAACGGGGACACAGACAGCAATAAAAACTGACAGGGGTTCTAATCCTTCTGCACTCTGTCCAAAATTAAAAAAAAGTTATGCCATTAGTTATACTTTATATACAGACCACTGGTTGTGCAAGTCACTTGGACAAGTTCTGTAAAGCAGAGAACTGGGAATGAAAAGCAGAGTATAAATAATAGTCTATGCTCCTGTTCAGCATTCTCCAACTCCAAATGATTTGTACATGTACATCTGTTATAACTGGAATACATTTAATGTCTTGTGTTGTAGAGAACTGTAAATAATGTGAAAAAAAATGTAAAAATAATGTGTAAAATCATGTGTAAAATGTGTTCTTTTTAGAGTTACTTTATGAAACAATGTTGCTACAGAAAACTCTGTACTTTTTTTCTTTTACATCTACATATGTAATTAAATTAAAAATAACTTTTTTGTTCTAAATGCTATGGTCAAGAATATATTAAAGCAGAACTATTTTTCATTCTTATGCTGCTAGTGTTAGTAAATAGGTGGGAAGGTATGTTGAATTCACTTGGTTTAACCTACTTACATTTCTTCTGTTGCAAATGGGAATAAATAAATACAAATACTGCTACAAAAAAAAAGAAGCTGCAGTGAGAACTGAATATGGCAACACTGACTGGTTCCCGATTAAATGTGGTGTCAGGCAGGGATGTATCTTGTCACCTTACTTGTTCAACCTATACGGTGAGGTCATCTTAAGAAAAGTACATTTGGAAGAAGAGTCTATATTAAAGTTGGTGGCCAAAACATAAACAGCCTGCCCTATGCAGATGACACAAAACTCATCACCAGCAGCAAAGAAGATATTCTGTATTTACTGATAAAAGTTAAAGTCAAAAGTAGTAATGTAGGATTACAACTGAATATAAAGAAGACGAAGATCATGAACACAGAAAGTGACAACAATTTTGAGCTTGACAGTGACAGAATAGAAGTTGTAAATCATTTTAGTCTCCTAGGCTTTCTCTTAGGGCTCATATACATGGGGCGTTTGGAAAACTCTTCTGAACGATAGAAACTGACTGCTGGAAAACGTAAGTTAAAAAAAGTCTGTTTAGCCGCGTTTGCATACCGCGTTTATGTGCATTTGCGTTTAGAAGTGTTTTTAAAAGACCTTTTTCAGGAGACCTTCCAAAATGCCCAGAATGCACTGAAAAATAGTTAAAAAATTAACTATTTCAGACATTTTGAGAGAAATAGAGAGAGAAGAAGAAGTAGAGAGAGCAGTATGTGTTGAGATTACCTCATATCATAATATATAAAATAGTAGTGCAGCGCTAAAAAGTGTTAAAATTCATGGAAGTTCGTGTACTAAATCAAAAACAACATCAAATGTAAAATAAATATATATAATCAGATGAATTCATAAAAGTTCATGTGATATGTCTCATATATGGCATCAAATAGAAATCCTTCTGCTGTGATACACTACTAACTGGTAAAAATAGCAGAAATGCGCACTCACCGACCGCGCATTAGGAATGCGCATATAAGTGACCATCAACCGAGGTAGATAACTACGGATAGATGACAGGACATCCCTCCAGGGTAAAGATCATCAAGCCTTGGATGAAGTGATGTACAGCAGGGCACAGAGGTCCCCTTAAGAGTGGATGAACAGCCTGGATGTATGGGCTCTCTTCTCTGGATACTGGTATAGTAGAACTGCTGCTATGTATCTGAAACCCTCAATATAGGGTCAAAAACAAAGAGGGAATGCCCATAGTGTAGTAGGTTCATGCTTTATTGCCATGAAGTACATATAAAAAACTTGGGTGCAAGTACAAGTGAATTGTCAAAAGTGACAGACAAGAATAGTGTACTGACCCTAGAGTAAAATGGCCGCCGGACCTCCTCGTGGTCACGTCGGTGGATGACGTCACGCGTGCTGTCGTCTCCTCCTAGTATGTGTTGAGATTACCTATTTTTTCTGGTTGTATTCACTATGGATCCCATCGTGAGCATAATGCAGCACGTTCTACCATTTTTTCTTTCACGCGAAACCTGAAACTGACTGCTATGGTGTACCGGGTCTATTTGAATACACTTTGCATGCATTTCTGATGATGAAAAAAAGCTCTGGACACAGCATCTGAACATGAAAAAA